CCCTGTCCCCCCATACCCACACCCTGTCCCCCGTGTCCCTGCAGAGGTGCTGCTGCGGGTGCAGGTGTTTGAGAGCGGCACGCTGGCCCCGCTGGCCCAGGTGGCCCTGGACGTGTTCGGTGCCCGCAGCGCGCTGGCAGCAGGGACCACTGACGCCTCGGGCACCGGGGTGCTGCCCGTGCCCTACCGCCTGGGCTCCTGGCTGCTCGTCACCGCCGCTCGCCGCGGATACGTCACTGCCTCTGTCCCCTGGCGTGTCACCAAACTGCCGCGTGAGTCACTGTGACCCCCTCCTGGGGCGTTCCAATCCCATACTGGGGGGCTCTGAGTCTGACTGGAGTCCCCAATCCCATCCTGAGGGCTCTGAGTCTGACTGGAGTCCCCAATCCCATCCTGAGGGCTCTGAGTCTGACTGGAGTCCCCAATCCCATCCTGAGGGTTCTGAGTCTGACTGGAGTCCCCAGTCCCATCCTGAGGGTTCTGAGTCTGACTGGAGTCCCCAATCCCATCCTGAGGGTTCTGGGTCTGACTGGAGTCCCCAATCCCATCCTGAGGGTTCTGGGTCTGACTGGAGTCCCCAATCCCATCCTGAGGGTTCTGAGTCTGACTGGGGTCCCCAGCTCTGAGTCTGACTGGGGGCTTTGAACTTTGATAGGGGATTCCCAATCCCTTCCTGACACGTTCTGACTCTGACTGGGGGATGCTAAATTCCTTACTGGGGTATTCTGAGTCTGAATGGGATCCCCAGTCCCTTCCTGAGGGCCTCTGGGCCCTGGTGGGGGGTCCCAATACCTTCCTGAGGGGCTTTGAGCTCTAGCGAGGGGTCCCCAATCCCTTCCTGAGGGTTCTGAGTCTGACTGAGAGTCCTGCATTCCTTACTAGGGGGCTCTGAGTCCTGGTCAGGGTCCCCGGTCCCTTCCTGGGACCTCAGTCCCTTCCTTACAGGGGACCCCTAAGAGGTTTTGGTGTAGAGGTCCCTTACGGGGGGGTGTTTGGGAGGGGTCTGGGAACATTTGGGAGGGGACAACCACGTCCTGGTGGCCCCCAAGTCCCCCAATGCCATCCCATCCCATCCCATCCCATCCCATCCCATCCCATCCCATCCCATCGTGTAGGGGGCTGGGATGGGCTCAGC